CAACTCGAATTCTCTGTGTGCTGGCTCAACTTACGCGTGATACAGTGTTCTCGAAGTGCTACGTTGAAGATATGGTGTGAGAGCTCAAAGAAGGGAGAACGGAAGCGAGTTGTGGTTGAGGACGCGCTCACATTGCCCACCTTGCCCAAGAAGAGCGGGTGGATGAAATGAGGTTTCAAATGGCGCATCACAGATGTTGAACCTTTGCGATGTTTGCCCACGAGACTTGCAGTCTAGCTGCACCTGTTACGCGAATTGTGCCCAAAAATTGGGGATGGTCCACAGAACATGTTTTTGGATATCTCATTTACTCCCAGATGCAGGAGTCCAGAATCGAATTGGTGTCTGTAGCAATTGATCTTCTCTGCCAATAACGTCATTTAAGACTATCAAACTGGACCCTGCTCATAAACGAAATTTGTGTGGAATTGTACGCTGAGGCCTCAAGTCAGAAGCGTCAACTTTGGATTAACGCGAATGAGGAACTGCCCGAATTGGATCACGAGAAGTCACGTGGGTTCACGTGGATGATTATTATGGCGATGGATTTCTGAGATGTGCCTCTTAAATGGCTCTGTCGGGAAAAAACCTCCGGCGTTTGCTCAAGTGTATGGCTTGTTTCTTAGCGAATCAAATTGACAAAGGAATAGCAGTATAAAACTACAATAACGATATCATCACCTATGTCGATACCAGACCCTACATAGCTCATATTGCTCACGGGTATTTCGACCAAACGGATATTGTGACCTCTTCTTATCAGCCGTATTTTCCAACTGCAGCCGTGCGACCTCAGCTGTTTTATCGAACTGAACGCCCTACTCGTTCGGAAGCGCTACGACAATTCGTTGATCATCTATACTGACATCAAAAGCATCTTGTCTATACTTGTTGAAATGAAGAAGCTGCGCGGTGTCCAGTGTTTTCTAGACGCTGGGATCGGGTCGTTAACAACGACAAGATCTGCTTGACTTAACACCAAAGTATTAGCTTTTTATCTTTCCTGCTGTTCATTTTATTCGAATAAAACCGTGGACATGTTTGAATGAGATGACCTAATATTTCGAAGTCGGAAATGATGTCTGCGGTGGGTCGCAGTGATCTTTGACTTTTCCAGGCGACCAAGCCGTAACGTTAGCCGAATAAAGATCTGTAACATCCTGGCTTGTGGCTTCAAAACTACTCCAAGAATAGAGCTCGTCTGTTAATTGTGTTTGAATTCAAGCCAAGTGTCTTTAGATTTTTTGTAGATTGCACTTATTTCCCCTAGTGTTAGCTTTTTCCTTAGCAGTGTACAGTACATAATAATGCGGGGGGGGGTCGTATGGAGACTCTCCAAGAGGGGGGGGTCGTAAAAATTTTGAAATCGGTCCAACGTGACGGTTGACCCTGGACAGAACGACAGACGCTCCATAGTAAGTAGGATTTGACAATGCTAAGTTTCCTTTATTTTGGACGGCAAGCACAAATGAGTAATTAGTAATTGAACACCGTCGGTTGTTCTCCATTACACCTTGATCGTGATAATACAGTTTTGCTTGCTTGCTTGAACTGAAAAATCATAATGCGAACTACAACAGCCTGTGAGACGGGCCTGATTTTCGAATATGTATCCCTAAATGGTGATAGTCAATGCCGCGTTTGGAGTACTGACTTCGGGCGCAACTTGTTTGAGCGATTTTTTTTTCGCTGTTTGTGAACTGCCGTAAAAATGTGAAATGTCATGATTCTCTCATCATTGCTCAACAGTACTTTGATTTCTGATGAATTTGAATCAATTGGCTTTTTCTTCAAACTTTCGCCAATTTTTGCTCATGGCCACCTCACTGTTTACTTTTCGATTTCGTGGTCGAATCTAGGCTAGCAAGTTGTCTCTGGAGGGAATTCAACAACTTGTGAACTAATATGACTCGCGTTCAGCGCGACCAACATGTGTGCTGCCCGGTTTTCCAAAGCAGCTCTATCAATGTTGTCTCATTTTACACGAATCTACAGTAGCGGTCAAAAGTTTGGAAACTTTTGTTTTTGATCGCGGCCGAAACATAACGAAATTTAGATATTACATACAAAATAATTTTCAAAAATCTATAATCATGTTCAGAAATAAGATTTTTATCAAGAAATGGCGCGTCAAAAGTTTGGAAACTTTTTGTTTCCCTCATCATTATGATTCCTACTCTTCAATGTTTACTTGTTTCTGTTAATTTTAGTTCAACCATTGAGTAATGTGTAATTTCAAAATGAATTCATATGCAAAGGAAGCAGTTTTTCCATGGGAGGTCCTTTTTTAAACCCTACAATCCGGAATACGAAATTGAAATTGTTTCTTAGTAGTTCAGTCTCTACGGAAGCAATATTATCGAATGTTTTTAGCGTTTTTGGAGTCGAGTAAGCATAAGAAGAATGATCATTCACAAAAAAGTATTCTCACAAGAAAATTGGCCCTCCTCAAATACTTCGAAGGGTGGTTGGCACGTCCCGTACCCCCGATATGCCCAACTAAGAGACGATTTTTTCTGGTTTTGAACCTAATCATATGAAAGTCCAAGTGCAGCCCAACATCGGCCGCGACCTGGTGAATATTACGGATGATATCCCAACAATTGTTGGGCTTTAAGAGCAGGATGGCCCAACTGGCTTCCGCACACTAACGGCTAACATAGACCTAACAAGGGAGGTCTTTCAGGACAAGCCGCGCTTTTTCAAAACGGTTTTTTGCATGTGTAGGGAACCCATGTATGGACACAAAACCATGTTTCGTTTTCGCTGAACGGTTCCCTGATGGCCAAAAAAGGGTCGAAAAAAATTGTTGAGAATAGGCGGTTTTTACAGCTTTGGAGTGACGTTTCGGACTTGCAGAAGATCACCTGCACTTGAAGGGTGCTGAGAAAGATGGTATCAAAAACAAGGTGAAATTCGCCAAAAATTGAAGTACTGTCAGCGGTAGTGCTGGAAAAAGTGGAGCGTTTCATAAGCATCGTCGGCATCCGTCCTTTCGCAGTGGTCTGGTGGTCGAATGGATAGCGAGATGGACTTGAAGGACGGGCTTTTGGGTTCGACTCCGCTCCATGGCAAAACTTTTGCATTTTCGATTGTCACTTCCAAATGAGCGCCAAATTGCTCAGCGTCAAATTTAACCCTATATTCACAATCAGAACCATGAACAGGCCCTGCAAATGGGTTTACTATCAAAAACTGGCAGAATAAATCTGTAACGCCAAGCTGGCGCCAAATGGCGCCGGCGTCCGTGATCAGCACCCCGATTTGCCCCTCTAGGCAAAATTTCGTCAAAAATTGAAACCTTGACCTAACTTCGAAAAAGAAGGTGACCATGAGCCACAGGTCGTCGATGACATGACAGGCATGACGATGCACGTCGGCGGGCGACTTGAAGACGAGCGCTGCTCGAAATCAAGTGGATCGCCTTGATGATTCACGGAATCCAAAGCTCGATCTCATGGAGAACATCTCCCACCACGTCCCTGTCCTTGAAATCGCTCCAGCTATGGAGATGAAGTCCTACGAGTGGAGGAGCCGAGGACCCAACATATCACGGTTTGAAGGAGAGAAGAATCTGTCGACTTCAACTCATGCGGGTGCTGCTTCCCATCACCAGCTTGGCTGCCTGCCACTATCTATTCTGTAGTGGAATTTCTTATTATTGGAGGAGTATCACGAGGAAACTCATTTTCCAATCGCTGGCTGGAAGTACCCATGGGCTACTGACCGACCTCGAGTCGATGGCCAATTTTTCGGAACTGGCTCGAAATCTCAATTTTTTTCTAAAACTTCTACTTAAGGAATATCTAATGCTCTGATCACGAATATGACATTTATTTTTCCAGACGGCTCCAATTTACGCCACTTCGGCACCATTTGGCGCCCTTCTGGTGTTACAACTTTTTTCCGCCATATTCCAGTTAAAATCTGAGTTAAATGATCACTGGTGGTTTTGATAATGAATATGATACCTAATTTTGCACTGGTGCTATTTTGAGAAAATTTGGAAGCTCCAACCAAATGCAAAAATTTTGTCATCACGGGGATTGATCCTGGACCATTTCCTCACCACTTTTTGGCCTTCTCGGGCCGTTCAGCGAAAATGGACCTTGGTTCTGTAGTCCACGCATGAGTTCCTTAACATGCAAAAAACCGTTTTGAAAAAGCGCGGCTTGCCCTGAACGGTCTCCCTTGTAAGGCAAGAGGTGAAACTTAGTCCCCAGCGACGAGCAGGATTTCTATCTTCCTAAAAATGATGTTGTGGACCCTGTGAAGTGTTCAGTCAAATGGAAACCTCATTTTAGAGTATAAGATTCCAACAGTCAGAAATAGTGGAAGTATTGCCATGGATGAAGATGTGTCCGACCATTCGGCGATTCCCCAGTTCTATGTATCCAGCGAAATGTGGGTTGGGCTAAGTACAAGAATAGTCTATAGAATACAATGCTTCCTTCGATAGTCAGAACTGGCCGAAAAGATGGGTTTTCTATCGTGGAAATGACCCAATGCAGGCCTACCTCCTCACTGCCGCCTTCCTAAACCCAGAAAAAGAAGCTGTTATGAAGCGACCAAGTCAAGATCTAAAGTCTAATTGAGTTCTACATCCCACGGAAGAACTGGCATGTCGCTCAACCCACATTCCAGTTAAGAATCCCACCAAACAATGTGATTTAGTTCACAGTGTGCAGGGTTCGACTTAAAAGTCCTAAAATTATTTTATAATCAACTCCATGTCAATAAAAACGACGCTGACATAGAAATTCACAGCTACTCATCGAATAACTAATTTATCATGTAGATTCGAGAGCTATTTTGCCGAATTCGCTTTGGAATTGAGAAGTTTCCAAACTTTTGACGCGCCATTTCTTATAAAAATTCGTATTTTTCAAATGCGAATCTCGTTTTTAAAAATTATGTTGCTCATCGTAATCTACACTTGATTCTGTATATAATATGTGAATTTGGGACAATTTCATTGTCTATTGGCTACGCTAGATCAAAAATAAAAAAGTTTCCAAACTTTGACCGCTACTGTAGATCTGATGGTACGTCCTCCCCCGGCAGATAAATTTCTGGCCAAGTCTAGGTAATACTGCGAAACGAAAAAATGGGTTGCCGTGGGTAAATGTAATGTTGCCGAAAATCGAAAGTCAGTCAGCAAACTAGCTAGATTGAACTCATCAAAAATTAGAGTTCGATCAAGCAACTATGAAAGAACCACGGTCAACCTAATCGGTAGAGAAAAAAGAGCCGACGGGTTGATCCCCATCATCGATGCTGCAAGTATCCTCAACTCATGCTACGTATGATAGCGAACGTATTGTATCGCTTATGATATGGTGGCTAAGCTGATGGGTATGCAGCCAATCTAGACTATGCAATACATTAAATCAAGCTCTGTTTAGAGTAGCCTTTTGGAAATTCGCAAGACGGATTAGAGATCATTGCCAAGAAAAATTTACCGTATACTTATAATTACGGCTACACACCTCAATCTGGGTCTTCCCTTCTTATTGCTGCATCACTCGATGCTTTGTGGCTTCAAGTTGCCTTTCCATTAATGTGTGATGCTTTCTATTGAAATTCAGTCTTTGTTGCTAGGTGGACGAGCCGTTTCTGAGTTCTAAGAAATACGCCAAATGGAAAAGTACCCAAATCTTCTCCTGTCTCAAGGAAGGAAAACCTTACATTCCTAGTACTCAGCCTGATGAAGGTGATAATTTTTCATTATGAAGGTATTCTCTTAACTTGTGGAGGCTGTAGTGCTCAAGTAATTTTTCATTCGAATAACAATGATAGCTCAAGCAGTCTGACAAATTCCAGAGTTCAGCGATGCATCTTCAGGAGTTGCGCCAGCTCCCTCGGAGCAAAAGTATCCAGACGCAAGATCAACATCTTTCACTGGAAATTACCAACCACAGGCAGGAACTGCTATTCATAGTGCGGAGTCATCCGGTGGTATTCATTCGTCTCTACCTTCGACTAACTATGGCTTTGCTGGTTTACCAAATGTGCCAGGTTCAGCTTTGCAAACTTATCTTTCATCCTCATTATATGTTGACGTTTTCTGCATGAAGTAAGAAACATAGGAGGACCGAGTGCGTATAAATCACAAACATCGCCGATACCTCAGCACAACTACAACAACCCTACGCCGATGAATACAATAGTGCCTGAATTGAGTGGCCTGAGCATTGGTACGCCTTGATAATATTTGCTTTAAATGCTAGGTTTAGCCCCTTCTTCTTATAATATATTCTCGCTTTTGAACACTTAATGAAAATGAATGTGTGGTAAGGTAAGTGTTTATTTGTGTGTAACATATATTTCTGAAAATCTCGTTAAGATTTTTCGCTCAATTGAATACTTTATGAGGATGAGTACATGACACACATTGATTATCAGGAAAGATGGTACAGTGCGTTTCATAACTATAAGGTCACCCTAAAATATTGCATTTCCGGGACCAGCAGCCAACTGGTGATTTTTCCACTATCACCAAATGATTCCCCACTACGAATAACCCCTGTATCGCAATTTTGGTGGGAGCAGCTTTTCTTCGAACTTTTTTGTAATTATTTTTCGATTTTTGCACCGTTTCATAATATAAGGTCACCCTGTGAAAATGAATACTACATTATCGGAAACAACCAACCTGCCTGTGAAATTGAATGTTTGTTACAAACACACCCAGTAGCTAAATTTATGGAATGTTTCGTACTCGCCTTTTGAAGAAAAGGTAAAGTTTATGCATTTCATGGTGCTTGGCACGGTTCGCGAGTCTTTCCAAAGAACTTCGGACAGTCATTAGCACTGCTCATGGATAATTGAAAAGCTCCTACGTCTCCAGATATTCTACAATATCAGAACATCCACAAAATGGTTTCTATAAATGATTAGAGAAGAGTTATGAGGGCTGTCCCGTGCAGTATTTCCGCTTCAAATCGGCGTCGTGCCTGATTTAAGGTTTCTATCTTGAAAAATATGAACTGGAGTGCGGTGAAATTATGCAACAACATTACCAGGAAAGCAACAAAGATGGTCCGAAGGCTCAGTGGCCATTGCAAAGTGGCACAACTTCAACCCGTAAAGTTGAACTTGAAGAGAGTTTGAACAAGGTTGAGTCTGCTCCACAGTCGCACCATATAGCAAGATAATTCCAGTAAAGTTGGTATTTTTTGGACAAAACTGGTTTATACAAACAGATCCTGCGAATATAAACACTTTTGAAGTGACTTGCGAAGGTGGCCGATTCACTTCAGCGCTTGCAATTTTAGTTAAGGAAATGTGAAAGGTGTGGGTGCTTTTTGTGATGATGTTGTGTCAAAATTTCGCTTCCATAAACTGCATAATGGACTCCAAAGATTAGCATAGAGCCTTGCGAGGACATTTGACCTCTTCCTTGAGCTGATGAAGTCGGCTAGCCTACGTGGTCATACAGAACAGCACAGGTACCCATGTAGGTCATTCAACCAGAAGCAGCATTTCTCTCGAAACCCTGATGAACTGAACAAATTTTTCTGAATTTCTAGTCGTGTTCTAGTAGAACATCTCAGGGGCATCTTCGTCATGAGTAATAGTGCGGATAAACGCCAGTTAAAAATTACACAAGAGCGTGTACAAGCAACCCTTGAACACGGAAGTGAATCGATGGTGATCTGCCTTGGAATCTCAATTCCGGTAGGCCACGGAGACTATTCAATGTTGCCCTTGATAAAGGAGGAACCATACATTATTATTATGTCTATTTTATCTGTCATTAATCTTAGGTAATTGTTCTTTTCCTCAGGGTGACCTTATATTATGAAACGGTGCAAAAATCGAAAAATAATTACAAAAAAGTTCGAAGAAAAGCTGCTCCCACCAAAATTGCGATACAGGGGTTATTCGTAGTGGGGAATCATTTGGTGATAGTGGAAAAATCACCAGTTGGCTGCTGGTCCGGAAATGCAATATTTTAGGGTGTAGTTATGAAACGCACTGTATTAGTTTGCGGAGGAAGAGGTTGGAGCAGTTTGTTTGAAAGTGACGAAAATGACCAACCTTGTTTTCTAAAATTATGATAAACAATGGTTCAAATCGCGTCAACCATAAAAGGTTGAGTGAAAGGGAGTTTGCTCACAAGCCATCAGAAAGTCTAGCGAAAATATTATGGTGTGCGTGAAAAAGATCAACCTTCTGTGAGGTCCTCTTACTATATAAACCGCTAATTTTACGCAAAGAAGTGGTTGCATGGGATAGCTAGCGGAGTAAAACAATTGCTAACAAAATTGGGGAGTCCGCAGGTCTTGCAGAACCATACTTCATGATGGCATGATTGTGATAAGATGTATTAGGTCGGTCCATAAGTCTTGCAACAAACTACATTTAATGCTATAGAATTTTAGGGAGAACTCCTGAAAATCCGCAACATATTTCCTGACGTAGCATCAACCTTTGCAATTTCAGCCAACGGTCCAGCTCGTTGTCTGCTTACTTATTATGGATATTACACCGATTTCGCGAGAGGGCTCTCGTGCCCTTAATTTTTACGAGTACTGCTTGGAATGTTCCGCAAGTCATGCTAGACCAAGGATTGGCCAGAAGATAGGCGAGGGCACGCTCTCTCAAACCACAGTGCAACGGCGCTTCACTCTGCTCAGCGTTGACTTTTTTATTTGAAAATAACCCACACTCCAACCACCCTGTGACTGACAATCACGATGCTCTATCTGACGCTGTTGAAAAGGGATCTGGATAGAGTATCGATCATTTGCTAGAGCGATTCCGATGCGACAAGGAGACAGCACTGTGGCATCTCCAAAGACTTGTGAAGATCCGAAAATGTAGAGTTTGGTCCCCACGTGCCTTGAGCCCGATTCAGCTCCAAACACGATCTGACACCGTTATGTTCAAGTCGACTTACTAGGGATTCTACGATTGACCATCCATCACATTTGCCGAAGATGAGGAGTGGGTACAGTTTGCTAACAAATGAACAAGCGGCGGTAGTCCAGCTCAAACGCTTCGGGAGATCTTATTGCTTAAGTTCAACCTCGTCCAAGTAGGGCCTTCTCGGATTTTTGGTGGAACACGAGAGGAGTTAAGCTCTCCCTCCGTGTAGATGTCGCAGTCAACGCGAAAGTCAACTATCCACAGCTCGAATGCAACGCTTTTAATACGAAAGAAAAACAAGGCAAAGTTTGCTTTTGTATGACACCGTTGAAAAACCTCTTGCTAAGAAAATTCAGGAAAATTTCGAGACTCTGGGACGGAGAGTTCTTCCGTATTCACGTTATAGCCCTGACCTCGTGCCAAATAATGCCCTTCTGCTCCCCTCTCCAAACCATCTCCTAGAGAAGAAAGCTCATCCTAACTATGATGATGTCAAAATCGACATCTGATCTTTCTTCGATCAGAATTCAGTAGAGTCCTACAAGGGAGGCATCGAGCAGCTACTAGTGTGTTGGCAATAGGTTGTAGATATTGATGGAGGGTAGCATGCCGGATGAATGGAACAAAAAGATAATGAAAATATTAAATTCAAAATTCGGCCAGTTTGTTGCAAGACTTATGGACCGACCTAATAAATAGCCGTTCAGCACACTCCTGGCCATTTCCATGATGTTGCCGTGGTAGCTGGAGTGGACAGCACAGGAGTCGGAGAAACGTAGAGGAAAGGAGAGCGAAACCAACCATTAGGCCCCACATTTTGTGCAAGCGCATCTCACCCGCGAGCTATTATGTTAAGTTGACAAGGGATAAAGCACACGCTGGGTGTGAGAGGCTCTCGCGGTAGGTGCTAAACTCATTAAAAAACTTTAGAGCCGGAGTTCTTATAATTCTGTAGTGTTGCATGGAATGTTGAGCTTATTAAAACAAGAAAAGGTAGTTGCTAGATTTATTGGCGTTTTGTTGTAGAAAAAACATGCAGATTATCCTACTTACTATAAAGCGCTTCGTCTGTCTGTCTGTCTGTCTGTATGTCTGTCACGAAATTCCCTAGCTCCTCGGGATCCGCCTGGAGGGACCGGGTCAAGTGTGGGATGGGTGGGCAAGGTCTCACGAAGTACAAAACACACATCAGCTAAGCGGAGCCCCGCCCACAGTGGGCGTGGCGTGCATCGAAATGAACTGTACTGAGACCAAGATTTCAATTTCAGTGACAAAACAGCCTCGAAACTGGGCCAAAAAGTGGGTAAAGGTGTGCATTGGTAAGTCACATCGAATTAGGGAGACCCACCCCCGGTGGGCGGGGCGTTCTCCAAAAAAGCAGTGCTTTATGAAAAATTTCATAACTCGGTTGGGAGAAAGCCTACAGAGCAGAAAACAAATTGGTGTAGGGGAGCAATGTCTAAGGTGTTCCCAGCATACATGACGTGGGCGGAGGCCCGCCCACAATGGGCGGGGCGCGCTCTGAAGTGTACAGCATTTTCTACAAGTCCTCATAATTCGGGCCGGAGAAGTCTTAGTGAGCCGGAAAAAGGTGGATAGAGGTGGGTGGAGGAGTGGAGGCAACTGTCATCGGTGGGCGGGGCTTGACCAAAGTGGGCGGAGTTTGCGACGAAATTCATAACTCGGCTCCAAGAAGTCCCGGAGGCCGGGAAAAAGGTGGATGGAGGTGGGTGGAGGAGTGGAGGCCAGCTGTCATCGGTGGGCGGGGCTTGACCAAAGTGGGCGGAGTTTGCGACGAAAATTCATAACTCGGCTCCAAGAAGTCCCGGAGGCCGGGAAAAAGGTGGATGGAGGTGGGTGGAGGAGTGGAGGCCAGCTGTCAATGGTGGGCGGGGCTTGACCAAAGTGGGCGGAGTTTGCGACGAAAATTCATAACTCGGCTCCAAGAAGTCCGGAGGGGGGAAAACGGGGTAGAGGTTGGCGAAGGAAAGGAGGTCAACTGCTATTAGTGGGCGGAGCACGCACCTAAGTGGGCGGAGTTTGCCAAAAGTGTCGTAATTTGGTTCCAAGAGGTCCCAGAGACCGGTGAAAAAGGGGTAGAGGTCGGCGAAAGGAAGGGGGCCAAATGCTATTGGTGGGCGGGGCACGCACCGAAGTAGGCGGAGTTTGCCACGAGATTTATTGTCCGGAAGCAGTCCGGAGACCGGGAAAAGAGGATAATGGTTGACGAAGAAAAAGAGGTTGAAAGCCGTCGATGATGGAGCGGATAGAATTTAGCTGAGAATTCAGATATTCGTGGTGTATCAAGCCAAATTTGAAAATTTTCGTCGCACCATCAAAATTCGCCGCAGATCTGTGTTGCGCGCGCAATGCGTGCGGCGCCAACTGGTTACAAACAATAAAGCTGAAAGGAAAGAAATCAATTCTCATCAAAGTCTCTCAAACTACAATTCTTTCGATGCAGTTGTTTTCAATAGGCCTATTTTCAGAAGGAGACGAACGCAAGCCATCAGTGGAAGCGTTTAACGAGGCTCGTAAGTTCACCAAGTACGCTTTGAGTGCCATTGACTACGAAGATACCCGTGCAGTTGTCGAGAATCTTCGCAAAGCTCTTGCTCTCATGGAGCGCTTCTGAACGGCGTATTGACCTGTTTGTTTAACATTGGTAGCCATTTATAAAAATTTATTTTTCAAAAAATGTCCTCTTCATGACTACTTGCAACTATCACTTCTGTATTATCTTGAAGAGAACCTCCTCAATCGTCTTACATAATGCCTCAATATGAATTTCTGGCCAATCGTTGGCAACGTCCGATGTCCGACCACTACTCTCATCATATTCAAGGCTCTCGCCTTTCCTTACAATAAATTTTTTAACTACTGCTTCTGAGCACATTTATTGCGAATCTAGGCCAAGGGCATCGTTGATCTCTTGACCTCCTCCCCCTAATTTCAGGTCTATCTAAAGATAAAAGGAAAAACTTGCTCATCGAGCATACCACATTCGAAGCTTTAAAAAATTTATAAGAAAATGTTTAAGGCAAAGATGAGCTAAGCGTTGGATAGAGCTGGAAAAGCTTTTAAAATGATATCCACACCGCTGCAGTTTTTCTAGATTTCAAGTAAAATGAAGCGCTTAACTGTAAAGTGTCAGAAAACGACAGAACTTTCTGAAACACCTAATGCAAGCGCATTCCTGGCTCGCCTTCATACTTTGCGACTCCTTTGCAGCTCGGGCAGGGGTGCGATTTGTACGATCGACCTGCGTTCCGCACTGCAGCCTACAAAGAAAATGAAGCGGATGCGACCACCTCTCCAAGCTAGACCAAGTACGACCCCCCCCCATCCCGTTGGTACTTGTACCAACGTACGGTTGACCCTGGTCCCATATCACTTTTACTATTAGGTCGGTCCACAATTTTTGAGAACCTTTGGTGTTTTTCGATTTATTACTTATCTTATTTCTCTGATCTACTTATCCAGCATAGTATACATCATTATTATTAACAACATATCGCCAATGCGAGGGTGGGTATTCAGTGCTCTCTTGTGGACTTTCATAGAGTTCTGATCGAAGGAAAATTGTAGTCCCGAATCAGTTCTCAACCCAATCTGACATCATCAAGTTCCTGTTGGTTTCCTATAGTTCCTTCGGATGACCATCTATAATACTCATTGGTGATGTGGACTGGGTGCAGTGTGCTAACAAATCCACGAGCCGCAGTAGATTTGCTCAAACGATTCGGGAGTTCTGACAGTACAAACCCAACTCCCTCTGAATTCGAACTTCCTGAGTCGTTGGATTAACTAATACCAGTGTCAGTGATGGGAAGAATCGTTGACAGCTTGATGGCAACGCCTTCAACTTGAAAGCAAAGAAGACAAAATCTATTTTTTCTGAGGTCGTTCGAGCCCGCCTTGCTAAGAAAATTCCTAAAAAATTGGAGACTCTCGGGCGGTCAGTTCTTTTAGCTCCGCCTTGTAGCACTAATCCTGCGTCAACGAACGACTATCCGCTCTCCTCTCTCAATCACCTTCTGGAGAAGAAATCTCACTTGAATCACCATAAAGTCAAAATCGACATCCAATATTTCTTCGATCAGAACTCTATGAAATTCTACAAGAGAGACACTGAATACCCACCCTCGCATTGGTGATATGTTGGTAATAATGGTGATGTATACTATGCTGAATAAATACATCAGAGAAATAAGATAAGTAATTAATCGAAAAACACCAAAGGTTCTCAAAAATTATGGACCGACCTAATAGAATCTGCTTCAGTGGCTCGTCTTTTGTCACAGTCTTACTACTTCATGTTTCCTTTGATTTTGCACCATTCGCTTAACTGGCTGTCCAACGTGGTTACCAGTTGTGGCATGGGGTGCAATGTGTTAACCTTTTCATGAATGGTAGTGGTCTAGTTCAGCAAACTCGGAGTTTTGAATACCAAAGCTCAACGTGGCCTTTTCGGCTTGGACCCCAGGTTCACCTCTGTTCATAAGTGGATCTGAAAATCCTGTAGCGAAGGAAATTCGTGCTACGAAAAACAAAAAACTCGCTTTCTGGCTTAGCGGTCCTCACCATTCGCTCCAGTATAAGGACGTCAGTTGTTAATGGCTTGGTCGCAGCACTTCCCTCATGAAATAAATCTTGACAAAGTCACTTTTTTGTTATTCCTCTGCAACAAATTTCGGAGAAATGTTCAGGAGAATTTGGGCTCTATCTGAGAGTTTCCATTGTTGAAAATCATATTCTAAAAGCAATCCAGGAGTCCCAGAAGTTGTGGGCCTACGTAATATGTTTTTTACTCTTTAAAAATATCCAATTCCTTACAGGGCAGTTTTAGGGCTCACAATCTTTGTCTTAGGGCAGTCTTCTTAGGCCTTACCTTTTTTTTTCGAGAATAAATCCCGCTTTTACTATTAACAGAAGTACTCAAACAGAAATCGTTTGTTTCCTCCCACTAGTCAGAATCAAAAAGAAGATGTTCAAAATATTGTGGTTCACAGGAGTTCTTCACATGACGATTTTTGAATTCCTCGAATAATGTACCGCTTATTTCCTCAATTTTCATCATGATTAGTTACCATATTTTAGCTTCCCAGAATTACAAATCACTTTTGCTCACCCACTGAATCTATTGTGGTGATGTGAGAGAAATCTTGGTATGGACTACCATCTTCTTGAAAGGCTGACCGTTGATTAGCTGTCGAATACACTGTTTATAACTCACATAATAAAGTGTAATAGATAAATGTGTTCTGCAAAATATCGGAATCGATCGACTTCGACATTATTTGGTGTTCTAAAACGTTGTGTTGTGCTGTCTTTTGTGCTTTGCTAGATAATCATTTGAGTGTGAGTATAAAAACCAGGCTGGGAGTTGCTCGAATTATGGTGGAGGAGTTAGGAAAGGAGAAGAAACGAAAGGGTCTTCGATTGTAGGTTGTTGATTTTTTGCTTTTTCCTTTGTGAAGTATGTTTTTTATTTTATTTAAGGGTGTCTCGCAAATCATCTAGGAAAATGCTAGGTAAATGGAAAAAGCTCGATGACTCTGATAGGTGTGAAAGGCAAGATTCGTTGCAGGAAGCTGAGGTGATTTTTCATCTCATGTTTTGTTGTTTGTGATTTGTGGTCCGTCAAGTGGAAGAGGGTGGAAAAATGGGAGAAGTTAAGACAATTGATTGTTTTTCTCGTTTCAAGGCTATTTAATACCGCCATCCCAGTTTTTGATGATTTGTGGCGAAAGAAGTTATCAAGCGTGAAAGTTCCAAATTCGAGGATTTTCCCGTTTCATCAGAGGTATTTGCCCCCCCCCCCCCCCTTATAGAGCGGTAAGTACCCTATTAAGGCCTTATTTTTCCCTGTCTTTAGACTGTTCTGAAGCCAAAAACTGCAATTTTTTCACCAAATTTTTTAATTTCGACGCACGCCCCGCCCACTGGAGGCGGAGTTTAGCATGGCCAATATATTCCCCTTAAAGAGCGACTCATACTCTACCCATTCCAAACTTGACCCGCCCTCCCTAGGTGATTTTTGAAGGAAGAATTATAAACATGTGGGGGACACTTGCGAATTTTTGGGGAGCGGTCAGACAAACAAACTCTGGTTTATATAATAGTATGATAGGGGGGTGATCTATGGTCTATTCAACCCCCATTTCCTGGTTTTTTGGATGTTTTTGGACGAAAAACGCCTATTTTTTCACGAAAAATTTTACTTTAAGCGCACGCCCCGCCCACAGGAGGCGGAGTTTCTTATGGCCAATACATTCATTTTATAGAGCGGTGTGTGCCCTATTTAGGATTTAAACATGTGGGGACACTTGAGATCTTTGGGGAGCGGTCAGACAAACAAACTCTGGTTTTTATATTAGTACGGTTTGTTCGATAGAAGGGTTCTCCTATGCTATGGCCATGGCTACGTTGCACGTTGGAGCGCGGTATATTTCCCTCTAATGATGGGAAAGAATGCGGCCGCCTGAAATCTTACTCTTCATAGAGGTATAACTTCATCTTGAGTCAGGTCTAGGCCGGGTTGCGAAGCCTCAGCGGTGAGGTTCGCATTTGGTCCGGTGGGCGGAGGCGGTCGTTGCCGGGGTCAGCAGTGTAATAAGCAGTGGAAGGAGATGGGAACTGGCTCGTGCTGGGTTTCGCAGGATGTGGAGCGCTCGTTTCTTCCCTGATCGAGTTCATTGGCCATGCGTTTCAGTTCCTGTTTTGCACCAAGTAAATGTGAGTTTGAGAAACATGTCTTTGGGAGAAGTATTGTCTTCAGGAATCCACAGTTCAAACTGAATGCCATTCCCTGGTTGTCCAACTGAAGATACAACGCGTTTCAAAGTATAAAGGTACCTCTGAAATCAGCTGCTCTGTCGATTAGGATTAGGGATTCATGGCTAGTTACCTGCTTTATCGTATACAGCATGAACTACAGCTCATTTGATTTGAAAAAAAAAACTGTGAATCAGAAACATAAACACATATCACATGTTTGATAAGACAATTTGACCCTCCTCCCTCGTTTCAAAACCATAAAGGCATTTTGGCAAAAGGAGTTGAAGAGATGAAGTTCTTCATCCTTCACTTCATTTAGAATTTTGTTACTCTATTCAGTGAAAATTCATTTCATCACAGTACAAAGAGCGATAGGGGATCCAGCAGTAAAAAGTCAGGGTCTTGCTTCCAGTGGCACACAGTGTAGATGAGAAAGGCAAGAGAGGCTAGAAAGAATTGTCACGTTTATCGTTTAGCCATTCCGTCAGGTGCTGGGCGTGCCTCTCGAGACCGCCGTGGATTTGGATCCCTCCTTGGATGGAGTGCCTGTACCGGCTTTCTTTCGTCATTCACTTGACTACGTTGAAAGTCATGGTATTGTTATAGTTCTAGTTTTCCATGAGCGCTTCCAGCGGAGCTCCTTGCAAATCGCCATTTCTTGAGCGTGCTCTACTTTGAGTACACCTTTGTTTATAGTATCACTAAGCGGTCTAGGATTTTTTAAGTACATAGTTGGGACCATTAGAAATGGTTCCAACTAAAATCATCTGATTTCGAGTGAGAACCATTTCCAAAGTATTTATAGGAACTAGAGGTGGTTGGCCTTCCATTCTTCGACAATCTCTATGGCTTGTTTCTATATTTGTCGAAATGTTCTTTCTTGATAAGTTCACACATTTTTTTCAAATTTGATTCTTGCTTTTTCTACTTTCTGAAACGACCGTAACATTTTCTTTCTTCATCGTTTTTATATCGGTTGGTAATACAAGCGGCTTCTAAACATTTTGGTTGTTATAAAAGATAAAAAGGATAAAGCATTTGCCGTTGATCAATCCCTTTTTGGGATGCGCACGCATTCTACTTCCATTTGTACATTCGTAGTGGCGTTTGAATGCGATGTGGCCTATACAATGACTTGCGGGGGCCAGCCGATGTACAAGTCAGTGTTTTTATCCTCCCAGACAAGTCTGGTACCAATTAACCGACCCCGGAGGGATGGAAGGCTTGGTTGGCCCGGGCGACTCACGACCCAGGATTTGATCCCCGGACCGCTCGCGTGGTAAGCGTGCCACTTGCCACTACACCACTTCCGCCCCTTTGTGGTTGCTGCTTTAGCAAATTGCTTTGAAGGTTCATAATTGGCTTGGCCATATGTGTCGAAAGTAAAAATGAACTAGCCAGGAAGAATTCCGGGTTGCTGCAAGTTCGACACTTTCAGAAATAAATTGTATCCAGTAAGAGCAAGATCTCTCTGCGTGTTGATTTTATTTTTTCCCGCGAAAAAATGGTGGGTGCAAAGCAAAATCCGGAAGGAATAGGTTGTCTCAGCTTCTACAAGGATGCTGAGTTATTAACCAAACGATCGCCCCATGTGGGATTCAAACCTGGACCTCTCGCTTAACTTTAACAAACACAACAACTTGTCTGACGCGACCTCTTGCAGTAAGTGCTACAAATATGCAGCGTGTCCCATGAATTTTTCCCCACATTTTAAGCTCAAATTCTGTGGGCGCTTGTGGCCCTTCCTCCAAGTTTGGCAGACTTTTTATCCTTCTATCCTCTTGTCAATGACCATGCCAAATTCCACGGCTTACCGTTCGGCCTGCATCTCATGGTGCGCCTAAACTTCAACAGAGTGCCTAATCTTTCGCACAGCTAGGTCGGACATCCGGTAATAAACATCGCACTTCTTCGGAATCTTAACCGCTCGCGGCCTACCGCGCACTGTAGAGAAGAACCATAAATGTAGGCTCCTCTGCAGCCGCCCCGTAAGCTCTGCCTTTTTGGTTCTCAGGAAAAGCATGAAGAAGCGGATCGACTATATATCCTTTATTTCTTGATAAAAGTGACCAAAACGCTGAGATTTTTGAGCGGAATCTAATAAGTATGGTCTTATAACAAGTGCATACAAACCGTTGTAAGCTGTACAAGCGCTACTGCTTAACTAAACCAGAAAAGCGCAGCAGAGAAAACTGTGAGGAACCGGTGCCAAGGGCCTAAAAAGCTTTTCTTGGGCACCATTTTCTTCGACAGCAAAAATTCCGTTGTTGAGCGAAGCCACAATCTCCAAACTTCGAAAATGCTCCCATAAAGAGTTGCAGTCAAAGCAAAACAGGGGAGCATACCGAATGAATGTCCTTCCTTCCAACATGAATGTATGGGTAAAAATACTGTGTAACCTCTTGAAGGCACACTCGTTTTGAAAGAAGTTACAAGTAAGGAAAAGTGGTGCAATATTCATGAGTTGTTCATTGGACTGATGTAAGCTACACCAACCACTCTACCCCGACTCCTGTACTTTATTGGAGCAAGGTTGTTCTGCTGGAAGTGAATAAGTTTCCATTATGTGAATGTGTTACACTACGGACGTTATTTTATACAGGTTTAATGCTGGAGGGTATCTACCGAGTGTCCTGCCCAAAAACGCGGCTCGACGAACTTGAAAAAAAAGTCAATGAAGGTGCTTCGTTGAATTTCGTGGATGCACATGAGGCGGCTGGCCTTATTAAGAGGTTTGTTCTGATTTTATTGAGATGTAATCTTCCACTTTCATATGATGAATTCTGGTGATTAGGTTTTTGCGGCAACTTCCTGAGCCACTTCTGTCATGTGACTTTGAAATGACGGTGAAGGAATGCGCATGTGATTGGAGGAATGCCTGTCAGTGTACGACTAGTGATAAGGTAGAATGATATATGGTGGAAGCATTTTCATCGTTTCTCTTCATATGCACTTCGTGTTGGGTTTCTCAATGCGATTGGAAAACAATCTTTTTTTTGACAAGTTTTCGTTTCAGATGAAGAAAATGTTGCGACACATTGCACCTTCGCAGTTTCATATTCTCGGTTATTTGTTTTTGCACATACGGAACGTCATTGAAATGGTAGGTCCAGGGTAGGACTATGCTGTTTCAAGTAACAATGCAAGGTGAAAGCAGCTACATGTGTGCTGACTTTGTGTACCGTGCCTACAGTGAACAACGATTTTCAGTGGCGAAAAATAATAAAGTGGTCAAGAGCAGAAGTGGGGTTAGGTTCGAGCACAACTTTGGGACGCAGGAAACAATGATTAACTTGTTTAATGTATGATGATTTACCGCACTCTTTCGGCCGCGTGGGACCGTGCTACATGATGTCATGTCGCTCTCAATTTAAGTTGTTTCTCAAACGTTTCAAGGGGCTTTTATGCAAGGTGCACGCTGTTGACGTGGTCCATGCGAAGTAAGTTTGTGTGATGTTTTGTTTTATGAGTTATCGAGTTTTTGAAGAAAAAGAAGCGTGAATAATGTCTGTATCGCTTTTTTTGGGCTAAGGCTGGAAACAATAAGAAAAAAAACAATGCTTGCACTAATAATTTGCTGCATGGGTGCGGATATTTTTGGTAGGAGACGAAGCCTATGCGCGTGCCAGTGCTCTTGCACATATGTAGCCGCTTCTGCGTCAACTAGGAGCATTTGCTTTGCTACCCGCAAATCTCCAAGTCTGTAGTTGTTGCTGGATATGCAGGTTCGATTACAACCCAACAATCATTCTACAAGCTCGAGATAAAGAGACCAGGAGCTGATCTTTAGAGGATACCCTCTTGTTTCCGCGTTAGTTTTAGCCATTTTTAGTGCCCTCAGATCGCTGAGATTGCCAAAATCTTGTAATATGCAGCCTGCCTCGCAAGAAAGATAGGAAATAAACGATTCCCAAAATAGTTGTTATTATGGGACCTTGTGAATGATGTCGTGTCAATTCACACGGTCAGAAAAAAAGCGCACAGTCCCACATGCCAGACATAGCGCGAAGGCGAGAGCGGTCTTCAACGTGTCAATAAGCTCGTAGTTTGCAGTAGAAGTACCGTCGCTAAACGAGTGTGATAGAGCCGGCGTCTGTGGCGCAGGTGCCAGGAGCTTTTGCGCCGAACAGATGCGATGTTCGTATGCTCCGGGTAAACAAGCTTCATGGGTAATTTTTTGGGCCAAACCACCTTCAATCCATCCATCCCTCAGAAGTGCAGCTCAATTTTCTAACAATGATGCAGCAAAGGGTAAACAGTCCCAAAAGTTCTTATCAAAGGTACCTTAGCCAACAGGAAAACGTGGAGGTTGGAGGAGGGGAAACTTATCAAGTGAAGACAGGCAGAACCTCCAAGACTGCGGAACGACACGCACCGCAGATATGCCCCGGCGATCTAGCATGGCTGTGCTCGTGACGCTATCGACGCGACACGCTCATCGACGGGCTAACTACTTGCCGCAGATCTCTGACTGTTTAGCAGGGATAGAGTGATGCCGTTTCAAAAGACAGCACCAATGCGATTCGCATCAATGGGGGAATCAACAAGCAAGGAAGGGATCTGGTATGGACACCATGGTTTTTTCTTTGTCCCGCCACCACCGACCACCTCTGCCTTAATTCCAGTGGGCTGCTTCTAATCATAAACTCCACCTTCAAGGTAACTTTGAGGTCGAGAAAGTTGGACAAGTGTGTATCGCATGAGTTAAGTGAGCAGCAGCGAAACTGCTGTTTTAGGGTGCAGCCGCGGCAGATTTTACGTGACAGAAAAGGACAGCTTTCAGATCGGTGCGTTGTTCGCAACCGAAAACAGGTTTGTCGCAAGAAAAATGCGATCTTCTCAGCATATTGGCTGCGGCGAAGCTGCGAAATATTTTTCAAAGCCTGGATCCCATAAGGTGAAAGTCTGGGTCGACTCCTGGCGAGGGAGCACCAGTGCCTCTGAATACAGGCGAATTCGGTAGAACGCAAGCGTCGATTTAGAACATAGCCTACAGTGTGCTTCATAATAATAAGGTCACCCCAAAAAGAACAAGCAGCAGACTGGTAATTTTTCTAGTATTACCAGCTTATTCCTCACTATGAAAAACCCCTGATCGAAATTTTGGCGGGAGCAGCTTTTCTTTTAACTTTTTTATAATTATTTTTCGATTTTTGCACCGTTTCATAATTAAGGTCACCCTGTGAAAATGAATACTACATTATCAGAAACAACCAACCTGCCTGTGAAATTGAATGTTTGTTACAAACACACCCAGTAGCTAAATTTATGGAATGTTTCGTACTCGCCTTTTGAAGAAAAGGTAAAGTTTATGCATTTCATGGTGCTTGGCACGGTTCGCGAGTCTTTCCAAAGAATTTCGGACAGTCATTAGCACTGCTCATGGATAATTGAAAAGCTCCTACGTCTCCAGATATTCTACATTTTGAACATCCACAAAATGGTTTCTACAAATAATTAGAGAAGAGTTATGAGGGCTGTAACAGTATTTCCGCTTGAAATCGGCGTCGTGCCTATTTTGATATTCTATCTTGAGAATTATGAACTGGGGAGCAGGGTCAACCCTACGTTGTTACGAGTAACAACGGGGGGGGGGTCGTACTCAGTTGAGCTTGGAGGGGGGTCGTACCTCTCGGTGGCCGACAGTGGGATTCTTGGTAATATCGGATAATAGCCAGCACGTTACGTTTTCGTAAGATGACTGATACTAGAGCATCTATAAACCACGCTTCCCTCTAAATGAGCTTTCAAATGAATCAGCGAATTAGAAGGGCGCCCGAGGCGTGGCGCGCACCAAGGCAAGGGATGTAGTGCAAGCGCATGCTCGAAGCTTTCTAGCACATCCTAATTAAACATGAAATTGGTCTTCCAAGAAGTTACGGGCAGTGAAACCTAAGAAAACCCGCGTTTTCGAGAAAATGGCTTGAAGAATACCCCTCAAAAAAGTAACAACGGGACTAATTTTTGAACTGCTGACTTTTCAGGAACGTTTGGGTGCTCGTTAGAAAGCTTGAATCCTGTAGTTTGTCATACCGTGTTCAGCTTCCCAAATGAATGACTTTGAAGGAAGTTATGATCGTTTGAAGGTAAAAAAGTCGCGGTTCCAGAAAAATAGTAACGCAAACCCCCCAAAAACAGCTTGATCTTTCAGGAACGCTTGGGTGCTCGTTAGAAAGCTTGAATCCTGTAGTTTATTCATACGTGTTCAGCTTCCTAAATGAATGACTTTGAAGGAAGTTATTAGGTTTGGAAAGAA